GGATAGGGAGATGTGATACTATTATGGTAAACTAATTAATATTTGTTAATTCAGCCAATACTGTACTAATAGATATGTAGGAGGGAATCATATCAACAAGTGGATTTGATGCCCTGTTGCACATAAGGGGTTACTGTTATTTCTAATTACTATGAGAATTCTTGCCTTCTTGGTGCACAAGATCTACTGTGGAGAATAGTACAAGTGTTGACCATCTGACTTCAGAGTTGAACAGTTTGGGGCTTGATCTCAGCTTCCCCATTCACTAGTTACTAAGACCTAGTTTTCCTATCTGTAAAATGGAGACAATAAAACCTAGCTCAAGTGTGAGATTACTGAATGGAAGGAGAATATTAAAATTCATCCTAAGAAGTCTATTTAGTCGTAGGCAGCATGACGGAAGTCACAGATCTTATACATACAAGCAACATGCTAATGGCATGTTGGGGAGAAGGGATAGGTTTCTAGAATTTTACTTTCTGTTTCTGGTGACTCTTTTATTCTTGAGAAAATGTAGAATGAGTAAGTGGAAGAAAAATATCCAGTGCAACATCTGGCAATAGAAAAGCAGATTTTCTCAGAGGGTTAAGGCCTAGGGCAAGTTGGCTAACTTTCTCTTTAAAGTGTTTGGCACCCTGGAAAGGATGGCTAGTATGAGCAGAAAGCTTGATGGAGATAAGCATTTTTCTGATTCTAGACATTACCCTGGGGCAAACACTTCAATTTTTGCTTCCCACCATCTTCTGGTATCTTACTGCTAAGCCTAGGGCACTCCAATCAAGTTCTGCCTCTGAAGTCTTGTCAGTTTTTTCCAAAATCATTTCTCTTCTGTGGGACTGGTGTCAGGCTGACATGGAAGGTTCCAGCAAACCCTATTTAGATAATCTAGAGACATACTGGGTGGTTGGGAATGGGAGGGAAAATGGGGGAAATTTAAACTTATAGAATAGCCTAATCAATTAAGGTGAAAAAAAGTCTTACTTCCTCATGAGACAGTTTAGCACTCCACTGAGGGAGCTAAAAACCACAGGTTTCCAGGGTCCAGCTGATGTGTAGTTTCTCCTGAGTGCTGTAACTGGTATTAGAAAGAATATGATACTCAAAACAAGGAAATAAGCTCTTGTAGAGGAAGAAAAATCTTTACCTCTATCTTCTCCAGTGAAGGCCCTGTAAATTAGACTGAACAAAGACCGATTAACAGAAGAAAAACAGAAGAGTATGAACATGTGCATTGTGTGTGTAGCAACACATTTGAATACCCAGAGATGAGTAACTCAAAGGTTTGGTTAGAACTTGGGCTTATATAGCATCTTAGCAAAGGAACAATACATTTTTAAAGAAATGACAAGACAAAGAAAAAGGACCTTGACTCTGTAGGGGCAGCAAGTTGTAGGAAGATAAATACATGGGAAACTAGTGGTAGATAAAGGCAAAATAGTAAAATTTGTTATGCAGATTCCTCTGGTCCTATCTTCAGGCTGACAAGGTTCTACAGTTGTCTCTGGCTAACCTTTGTCCTTCCTGGTAGAGCAGGCAGGAGGTACCTTTGTAAATTTATGTCCTGCTTTTTGGCAAATAGGAGGAGAGCAGAGAGCTTTTCTTGTATGTATCTCCTTCTCACTTGCCTTCCACTCCAAATAATCCTTAAGCCAAGGTGGCACACACTCCCAATGATCTTGAGTAGATTCACGGCTACGAAGTAGAGTACAGTGTAGTACTGGCTCTCCAAACACCTGCAGTGAGTCAGATATTAACAACATAACGTTTTTAGTGAGTGTGCCATCCATCCATGAGGAGAAATGAGAGGAGCTAGGAAAATAAAGTGAGATAATTAGACATTTGTTGAGACAATAACATGTTCAAGTGCTCAGTGTGTAATTTTGAAAAAGTAAACTGAGTGAGGAGGCTGAAAGGTGGTGGTGGTGAGAATTTCTACTTCTCAGGTAGCCAGGGGAACCTGGTTCCCACAGACCCCTTTCTTTCAGTCCTGTTCAAACTGAGAAAAAGCAGGAGTGAAAGGACCACACCGTTCCGTGGAGCAGTTCTCAGCTATAATGAGGGGAAGTGGCCTCCCAAGAGCTGCGTGACAGTCAAGTCCTACCCTTTCTGCACCTTATCCTTAAAGGGAAGATGAAGCACTTGGGCCAGTTGGTTTCCAAGGTGTCTTCCAGATTGCTCTCATCAAGACAAAACTATCCATTACTGTGAGGAAGGTAAGTACAAACTGGCTCTTGGGATCTAAACATTGATTTTGGTTATCTGCAGACTTTGAGGTCCTAAGGTACGAAAGTAATAACGATTTAAAGGTTCGTGAAAGCAACGGACACAAAAAAGCTTATATGGTCTCTGTCTCTACAAATAAATCAGGGAGTAAAGGAAAAAACCGCTAGTTTCAGTAAAGTGCTAATGTTGCTATTAAGCAGGCAAGCCCATGCAAACGTCAAGTTCTTAAGTAGGGATGCCTCTTAGGGGGGCTTTTCTTTGGTGCCCCCACCCTCCCCCTCTGCCACAGCCATGTAAACGCGACAGGCACACACAAGCTCACAGGGGCTCAGACAATGCAATGCCGGTTGGTGCGTGAGTGCCCCTCTGCCACGGACTGTAACCTCCCCCCGCCGACCTTCTCCTCCCTTTGCCCACTTGCTCCATCTCCACTCTCTGGCAGGTTTCCTGGCAGCTAGGAGTGCCGGGCCTCCGCCTGGCAGACTCCATGGCTGTGCGGACCTCGTCCCAAGTGACCTGCGGGAGCAACAGGGCCCGAGGTCCAGGCGGAGCCCAGGCCCCAGCACACAGATGGAAGGGCGGAGGGTGGGGAAGGTTGGGGATTATCTGGAGGCCTCAGGACAGAGGAGGAGAGCCCGGGGCGCAGGGTCGGGGTTACCCTGGGCGAACTTGGGTGTGCAGCGCCGGACCTTAGGGCTTAGGGCAGAACTCTAGGAGTAGGGAGAGTAGCTCAGAACCTGCGGGAGCCGGGCTCTTAGTGGCTGGGCCCTTAGTGGCTGGGCCCTGGTCGGGACCAGTATGGGGAGGGGGCTCTGAGTGGCGGGGATCAGGACCAATAAGGACGGGGTTCTGCAAACTGGGGGCGGAGTTCTAGACCGGCAGGGGCGGAGCTCTACGTGGTGGAGGCGGTATGGGGACGAGCATGGATGGGGCTTTAAGTGGTGGGGATGAGGCGTCGTAGGGGCGGGGCTCTGCGTGACAAGGGTGGAGTCCAAACCCGTAGAGGCGGGGCTCTGCGTGCTGGGGGCGGAGTTATGGGATGAAGGCTGTGCACTCTGCGTGGTGGGGGCGGGATTGGGACCAGAATGGGCGGGCTCAATACCGGCGGGGCGGGGCTCTGCTGGCTGGGGGCGGAGTTATGGACCTGTAGGGCGGGGCTCTGCGTGACCAGGGTGGGCTCGGGAGCGACGGAGGCGGGCTCGGGACTCTGGGGGCGGCCCCGGTCCTGGCTTGGGCGGGGACCCGGGCTGTGGCAGGAAGCCGGAAGCAGCCGCGGCCCCAGCTCGGGAGACATGGCGGGCGTTAAAGGTACATCTGTGGCCCCCGGCCCGCTTGTTGAGCAGTGCGGTCGCCATCTCCGCTCCGGGTTACGCCTGGAGCTGCGCCTTCAGCGCGCCGGCGAGGAACGGCCTCCTGCACTCCGCCAGCCTTCCCGCCCTCCGGGTGGAAAGGCGCTCGCCCGCTTTCTTTGTCCCTTGGGGTGCGGGTGGAGGGGCGTTTCGGGGGAAACCTCAGCCCTTTTTTGCAAGGCCACGGGCCTTCACGCTCTCTAGTGGCGTCCCCAGACCCTCCAGGCGGAACCCTCGGCCGGGAGCAGTGCCTTCCTGGAAGACCCGGGCCGGCTCCGGGAGCATCACCTCCCAAGCTCCTCCTCAGTTCTCGGAGCGCCCTCCACCCCCGAGTTTTTAAGCTAGGTTTCCACTTCTTAACGTGTCGAACCTAATGCCTTACCTTCCGTTTCCTGCCCCTCTAGAGTTTCCATTTCTTACAAAGGAGGCTTTGTCTCCAGTGTTCTCAGCGTTGGGAAACTTATTGTTCCTAATGATTTTTCCAGTTGGGCAGAGTTGACTGCGGGTGGATGTCAATGGAAAGCGCCCAGAAATGCTGTATTTCTTGTAATCGTGAAGACTAGATTAGGTGCAACTTTAACACTACTTTCTTCAGTGTTTTCTCTGTTCATCTGTGGACAGACAAGAAAGTAGTGTTTGTGCAGTGTGTGTTTTTGTATGGGGCAGTTGATAAAAAGGTACAGAGGACACCCCTTTCCTTATGTCTTCAGAGGGATGAGGAAGGGAAGAGGTAGTTGGAAGGTTTCCTGTTATTTTTGTAGGAAACCATTCCATTTCTAATCTTTCAAATAGTAGCATAACTTGTTTTTACGTTGGAGTTTCTATCCTTGAAATTTGTACTAAAAGATCCTTCCAGTTAATCAACATCTGCTATAAACATGAATACAGAATATATGCATGTGTGTTCATTATGAATTTATCTGAGTGTGTGAACTGTTAGCAGCACATACATTGTATCATTATTTCTGACTGACTTTGATATTCAATATCAGTTTAATAAACATGGTTTACTTGGACAGTGTCCACCTGTGTAATATATCCATTTGAAGCCAATGCAGAAAACAGATGAAAGATAGTACTACACGACCAGAAACTGCCAAATAATAATGTTTATGTGTGAATGTGTTAGAAATTGTTATGTAGTAAAAAGGAAGATAGTTTATGAAATGGAAAAGGACTAAGGGAAGGGAGCATTTTGCAAATAAGTCAGATTTTATTGAGGAACTGTTGCATGTTGGAGACTTGGAATAGAAAGAAAATTAAGTTATTTTTGGGTGACAGAGCTGGAAATAGTTATATTACTGCGTAAGTGTCTAGGTGCTTAGATGCGGTCGGAGCACAGAGATGGTGGGTTGGATTTTTGTCTCCCAAAAAGATATGTTCAAGTACTAATTCACTAGAACCTGTGAATGTGACCTTATTTGGAAATAGGTTCTTTGCAGATGTATTAATAATCAACTTAAAATGATACTGGCTTAAGGTGGGCCCTAATCCGATGACTGGTGTCCTTGTAAGAAGAGGGAAGTTTAGACATGGAGACATACAGGGTGAACACCATGTGAAGACGGAGGCAGAAATTGGAGCGATGCAGGCGCAAGCCAAGGAGCACCAAAGATTGCTGGCAGTCACCAGGTGTTAGGAAGAGGCAAGGAAGGATTGTTCTCTACAGCCATGAGAGGCAGTATGGCCCTGCTGACACCTTTGTTTCAAAAGTTTAGCCTCCAGAACTGTGAGAGAATAAATTTCTGTTGTTCTGAGCTGCCCAGTGTGTGGTACTTTATAACCACAGCCCTGGGGAACTAATACAGATGGGATTGCTTAACCCTGCTCCAGGGAGAAAGAGGACTGTTTTCATGGAAGAGGCAAAGCTTGAACTGAATCCAAAGAGACCAATAAGGCTTCACCTGACAAGGCATGGTGTGAAGGTGGAGTATATTCCAAGTGGAGAGAATAACACATGACGTGGGGCAGGGAGCATGAAAGAACATGCCTTGTTCTCTTCAGGAATTTAAGCTCTCTTAGTAAGGACTGGAACTTAGTGGTGAGGGTTGAAACTGGAAAAGCAGTTTAGGAGGCAGACCATGGTGAGCTTCAGGGCCAGAACAACTTGTAGGCTGTGAAAGCAACTGCAAAGGGGGACAGTGGCCATGTATATTTGAAAGATCACTGCCTGCTGTGTGGAGGGAGGATGGATTGGAAGAGTCACGGTTGGAGGCAGGCACGAGATGATAAGGCTTTTGCACTAGGGCAGTAGCAGAGAGTTCTGAAGAAGAGGGTGGATTTGAGTAAGGTCTGGGAGATGGCGTCCCCTTGACTTGCTGATTTGCTGGAAGATAGAGTGCAGTGATGGTGGCAATCCTCTAAGGTAGGATGTTGAAATGGAAGATAAAGTGTGTGTTTAGAAGGAGAGGGTGGGGATGGTGGTTCAGTTTTACACATGTTGAATTTGAGGTCGTTGCCAGCTGTCCGGGCAGAGAAGTCCAGATTGGAGGTGGAGATGCAGGTCTAGTTCTTAGGACCTACTCTGGGCTGGATCCTCAGTTGTGGCCTGGCCCTTGTGATACTAGGAACTTTGGGTCAAATGCGGTTTCTCAGCAGGAGTGTGTGGAGTGAAAAGAGAGATGGGGCTGGATTCCTGGTCAACTCCAGCTTTAAGAGATGCAGAGGATGTGATTTCTGAGAAAAGAGGAAAAAAAGGGTCAAAAAGAATCAAACAGAAATACAGTTGTGAATCTTGAGAGATTGGTGTCAGCACAGAAGGAAGAGGTCTGTGATTCTTAGCTTTGACAGGTCTCATGGAGGAGAGAGTACTACAGATGGTCAGGAACAGAGGAGGAGAGCCAAGCTAGCTGGGAAAAGGTCATCTGTAATGAAAAATGCCCTCCACATGTGGGCATTTTTCTATTAAAAAGTGGCATGTACTAAATGGAAAAGATATAATAAGTTAAAATTGAAAATTCTTCCTTATTCCCTAACATCTGTATACTTCCAGATTTACTTACTTACTTACTTATTTACTTATTTAAATTTCAGACAGGGTCTCACTCTGTTGCCCAGACTGGAGTGGAGTGCAGTGGCTTCGTCATAGCTCACTGCATCCTCGAACTCCTGGGCTTAAGCGACCCTCCTGCCTCAGCCTCCAGAGTAGCTGGGACTACAGGGATGTGCCACCACGCCTGGCTAATTTTTCTCTTGCCCAGGCTGGTCTGGAACTCATGGCTTCAAGCGATCCTCCTGCCGCAGCCTCCTAGAGTGCTAGGATTATAGACGTGAGCCACCATGCCTGGTCCCAGATGTTTTTTTATTTATTTATTTTAATTATTTATTTATTTTTATTTCAGCATATTATGAGGGTACAAATGTTTAGGTTACATATTTGCCTTTGCCCCGCCCACGTCATAGCTACAAGCGTGTCCATCCCCCAGACAGTGCACACCACACCCATTAGGTGTGAATATACCCATCCCTTCCTCCCCTGCCCCCAGATGTTTTTTAAAAGCTCCTTGACATCTTCCTATAAAACAGTTTCCCTACATTTCCTCTCAAAGTAAAGGGAAACAATAAAAAATGTTCATTAGTTTAATCAATGATTAATTGTAAGCATTATAGATTTTTTTTCAGAAGAAAATTTGGATAATATAGTGTCCTATGTTTTTGATTTATACCTTTGTTTTAATTTCAAAATATTTAGAAGGTACAAATGTTCTAGATTACATGGATCACTTTTGTAATGTTTGAGTCCCTGCTAAAGGTGTGCCTGTCACCCAAATAGTGTTCATAGTACCTGTTAGGTAGGTTTTTGCCCCTCCTGCCGGTTGATTTCCACTGAGGTTTATTTCCCTCTATGCACGTGTGTGTGCTCATCAGTTAGTTCCAATAGTGAGTACATTGGTATTTGGTTTTCCATTCTTGATTTGTACTTTTATCAATGAACATTAATAAAATGAGTAGATCCTGCATCAGTCCACATTTATTTATTGAGCACCTTCTTTTACCAAGCATTTTTACATGGTTATTTAATTCCCATAAACTTTGAGCCTCAGTCAGGTGAGAACTCAGGTTCAAAGAGGTTCAGATTCTACCCAAGGTCACACAACCAGTTGGTGGCAGAGTTAAGATTTGATCCATGTTTGTGATGTAGCTCAAGATTTTTTAACAACCCTGATATTCTGTCTCTCACTCAGCAGCCTGACGAGGGCAAATACATTCCTATACTCTCAGAGTTGGAATGTCCAGCAGATGCAGGGAATTGTATTCTATGAAGACATGAAAGCAATCTTAAAATACTTGAAGTACTGTGGTTTGGGGAGGCAAAGGTACATATTACAGGGACGCAGTTCTGGATATAAGTTAAAGAAGGAGAGTTTTCAGCATTTAGAAACTGTCAGAATGAAATGACCTGCCTCGGGTGGAAGTGAGCTTCCCTTCGCTGGAGTTGCGCGGACTGGCTGACTGGTCTCTTGTGACAAATACAGAGGGAATTCATAAATTAGATAGGGGTTAGGTACTGGCATTACTTGAGCTTTTTCTCTACCTTATGATTTTAAAGTGGTGGACACAGGTAGTTGTCTCAATCAGTGTGGGTGACTATAACAAATATAGACTGGGTGGCTTAAACAAGAAACATTTATTTTTTACAGTTCTGGAGGCTGGGAAGTCCAAAATCAAGGTGCAGGCACATCTGGTTCTGGTGAGGGTCTTCTTCTTGGTTTGCAGATGGCCATCTTCTCTTTTTGTCTTTACATGGTAGAAAGCAGAGAGAGCTCTAGTCTCTTTCTCTTCTTATGAGGACACCTATTCCATGGTGGAGACTCCACCCTCAAGACCTCATCTAAACCTAATTACCTCCCAAAGCCCCCACCTCCTAATAGCATCTCATGGCGGGGAGGTAGGGATTCAACATATGAATTTGAGGGGAACACAAATATGTAGTCCACAATAGCAGTCATTTGATAGTCAAATGCAACATCAATTAATAAAATAAGTAAACTGTTACATTTGCTTAAATTTTGGGCCTTTTTTAGTAAACTTTTTTATTGAGGTATAATTCATATACCATAAAATTAACCTTTTTAAAGTGTAAACTTTTATGGTTTTTAGTATATTCATAAGGTGGTGAAACTGTCACTACTATCTAATTACAGAACATTTCATCATACCCATAAGAAATTCTGTACCTATTTTTAGTCATTCCCCATTTTCCCTGAACGCTCCAGCCCCTGGCAACTACTGATCTGGGACCTTTAACTCTTGGTTTTGTTTTTCACAGCTCTCGTGGCATTATCCTTCAGTGGGGCTATTGGGCTGACTTTTCTTATGCTGGGCTGTGCCTTAGAGGATTATGGGTAAGTTATCATTTCAGAAAGAACTATTCCTCTTTTTGTTTCTTTGTCACTGTTAGTTTGGGTGTTAAAGAGTTTGGTCACTAAACACTAACCAATAAGTTAGTAAAGCCCAGATTATGAACACAGTCCCTTCATGGGTCAGGTATATTTGTGCAGAGAAAAGCTCTTTTAAAAATTGATTTATTCATTTAATAAACATTTGTTTAACACCTACTCTGGATCACCTGGGGTGTGAGAATGAAGAGACACAGTCCTGTCCTCAAGGAACTACAATTCTGGTTGTGAGTGAGAGACAGGTAGACAGTCCAGTCAGTAAGACAGCGTCTGCAGTGGAGTTGCATGCAAGCACCCTGCGAGTGCAGAGGACCTGCACCTGGGTTTCAGTGGGACAGTCAGGAGTGCTGCATTGCAGAGGTTGTATCTGAGCCAAGACTTGGTGGATAAGTAAGAGTTTCTTAGGCTTATGAGTCAGGGGAGGGCATTCCAGGCAGAGGGAACATTCAACCAGTTTTTTATTCGACACCTGTCAGTTGAGTGCTTACCTGTGCCAGCCACTGTATGGGAAGTGAGAATTACGAAATAAGAGAACAAAGATTCTGCTTTCTCAGAGTCTGTATTTGTGGGGGAGATAGACAATATACAGAAAACAACAATGTGCATTCTGTCAGAGGTAGAAGTGTCACGAAAAATAGATAAAGGGTACAGAGGCTGGGAAGAGGGTGGCAAGGGAAGGCCTCTCTGAGGGGTGACATGTGAGCAGAAACGTCAAGAAAATCAGGAAGCAGGCCATACAGATCTCAGAGGAAGGAGGACTTTCAGCAGCAGGAAAGACATATGCTAAGGCCCACAGACATGAAAGCACATAGACGTTTCAGGAAACCACATGTGGTTCATTATGGCAGAGCATAAACTGTAGTTGGGAGTGGCAAAGATGGGCTGGTCAAGAACATGGAGTCATCCCTCAGGGCCCTGTATGTCATGCAGAAGAGGTTAGGTTGTCTACTCAGGCAATAGGAGCTGGGAAGATAGCTTAAGAACAGGTTCGGAGGTGGGAGTGGGGAGGGGGTTATGTTAAAAGGTCACTGTGGCCAAAATGTGAGACAAGATAGAGAAGTGCTGAGAGTGTAGTCAGGGAGAAGAGTAAGGGACTGTAGTCATAAATCAAGCAAAATTTAGGGCTGTGGCAGTGGGAATGGAAAGAAAAGGAGAGCAATCCAGGAGGGAGAACCAACAGGTTTTGTGAATTGATGTCAGAGTTCAACAACAAGGGGAGAGAGTTCGTGGATGTCTCCCAGGTGATTGGCTTGAGCAAATGGATAGAAGATGATGTGATTAACTGAGAGCACCTGGAATAAGTTGTTATGACATTGATGAGTTCACATCTACCATCCCAGTCCTGGCCAACTATCCCAGCCATTGTTTAAACACGACAGGGATCCATATATAAGCAATAACTTATATCTGTTCAGAGCCTTCCACAGCTATTACTTTATTCTAGCCTTAGGGATGTAAGTTACTACTAGCCTCATTTCTAGCTGGGAAACCAAAGCCCAGAGTAGGTAGAGACTTACCCAGATTGCATAGCAATAAGTAGCAGAGATGGAAGTGGAGATTGTATTCTGAATCTCTTGACCAAAGGTTTTTCCATTATTCTACAACCAACTCTAAATCCAGGTGTTTTAGTAATCTGTTATACACTGTGTCTCTATAAGGTAAGAACATGACCCATTACTGCTAATACAAAGAAATTAATTTTATATCTTAATGATAGTGACCTAGGATTATCGTCTACATCAGAGGTCAGCAAACTGGCCCATAGGCCACATATGGCCTGCTGCCTGTTTTTATAATGAAAGTTTTATTGGAATACAGCCATGCTAATTTGTTTATGAATTATCTTTGTCTGCTTTTGCACTAAAAAGGCAGAATTAAGTAGTTGAAACAAAAACTTTATGGCTTGCAAATCTGAAATATTTACTTTTTGGCCCTTTTCAGAAAGAGTTTGCCAACCCCTGGCCTACATATTTACTGAATAGTATATTTCACTAGTATATTCAGTTGCTTACTCTGAATGGAAATGTGGAGTCCCTTAGATTGTTTTTTAGAAAACTGTCACTGTATTCCAGGAAGAATTAAGAACTCTTGGCTAGGGGCATGTCAGGTGACAGCTGGGTCTATTCCAGGCCTCATCCCTTCTCTGTATCTCCTTTCCTCCTGGTAAAAGAAGGGCTTTGAACTAGAGCATCTCTAAGGGCTCCTCCAACAGTATTGCTTGGTGATTCTTGAAACATATTAATATTATAATTCCTCTCGTTTAGAATTAGGAATCTAAACTCAGTGTTTCCATCCTGAGTCCTCTTGATGAAGGACACTTTCCCTTCTTGCTTTTTGGTTACCTGGATCTGTGTCTGAAATGGAAAGCTTTCATTAGTTTGGCTTTACCCCAACTCCTGCTTGTAGGTGCTAGCTATCTGTGTGGATCTGTTATCACAGTATTGTGGCGATATGAATTATTGTGATGTACGTAAAAATGAGTAGAGACTATGTTTTTTTCTTAAGAAATGAATCATAATGTGTAACTGATGGAGAAAAAAATGAAAGATTATTTTTGAAGTACTTATAGAGAAAACATCATTGGAAACCAGATGGCAATATTTTATAAATGCAAATCAATTGAAATTTGGAAAGAAAGCAGTTTTGTTTTGTTTTGTTTTTGCATTAGAGTATTATTCTGATCTGTTATCATAAACATTAGAGTGCATCTAAAGTTTTTACCAGTGAGCATACTTATTTTCATGTCTTCCGTACTTAAAATCCACTTCTTATTTCATTCATTCAACAAGCATCAATGCAGCACCTCATTCATTCGAGGCCCTGGAGATAAATGGTGATTGACCAAGACTAATCAGGTCTCTGTTCTCATAAGCAAGAAAATATGACATGGGAATAAGTACCGTACATAAAAGGGTTCGAGGGTGACCTGGGGTACATTAGAGTTGATGGTCAGGGAAAGCCACTTTTGGGAGGAATCTGTCAGTTAGATCACACTATATGAAGGAGCTAGCAGACGAGAAGATCAGGGGAAGAGCATTCCAAGCAGAGGACACAGCTAGTGCAAAGGCCCCAAAGCAACTATGAGCTCAGAGTGGTCAAGGAACAGAAAGAAGGCTGGTGTGGCTAAGATTAAGCAAATGAAGGGAAGACGGTACAACAGGAATGGAAGAAATAGACAATACCCAGTCATATAAGACTTTGAAGGCTGGGGCAAGGAATTTGGGTTTTATTCTAAGCCATTGAAAGGTATCAAGCAAGCATGCATGCACTAAAAAGATCTTTACTGATTTAGCATGTCGCAAACCACTGTATTGTGTTCTGTAGGGAAAACAGAGATGACTAAGTCAAAATTCTGTCTTTAAAAGAAATTGCAGCTCAGTAATACCGAAAACAGTAAAGTTTCTAGATTATATATTGGATAGTTGTTTCTTACAATATAAGCTACCCACATATTAATGAACTAGTATTAATAATTTTTAAATCATCACTACTTATCTATTCCTGATAGAAATCATCTTATGTTCTAATAGTCACAATTGATGAATTTTTTGACCTAGACATTTAAATAACAATGATTTTGAAAGAGTAGCATGTCTTTCATTTAAAATGTAACTGTTTAAAATGTAACTTTTCTTTTTGGGTCTTGTCTGGGTCCAACTGACAGCGTTTACTGGCCCTTGTTCGTCCTGATTTTCCACGCCATCTCCCCCATTCCCCACTTCATTGCCAAAAGAGTCACCTATGACTCCGATGCCACCAGTAGTGCCTGTCGGGAACTGGCATATTTCTTCACTACTGGAATTGTCGTTTCTGCCTTTGGATTTCCTGTTATTCTTGCTCGTGTGGCTGTGGTAAGTTTTGTTTTCTATTGTTTTGCTGAGTTTACTTGAAAGGCCTGTGTCTGGGACCTCAATTTCATTTTCATTGCGTAGAGTTTATACTCCAAGCTAGATGTAGCTTTAGTTTCTCTCTTCCTCCACTTTAGATCAACTATCAGTATCTCAGCCATGTTTTCAGAATGCTTTCTTTGTTTCTCTTACAAGCATGTTTCTTGCTTTTTCTACTTTAAGCTGTTCTCTGGAATTGTTCGTAAGTAAATTCCTGCCTCTTAAATCTTATGGCATTACACAGGGACTATACTAGCAATACTTTTCTAGTTACAAAATGAAAATCATATCAAAATCTTGTCCTGCAAATGGGATTGTTGACTCAATTCTCAATACAATAGTTATATATTGAGGGACAACTATGTAGCAACTAGAAAATATAATGAATAAGATGACATCTTTGTGTCCACTATAAAAATTTTTTTTTTGTCTCCAGAACACATTGTGGTTGTAATTTATTCGGTTCTTTGATGTTTGCTGTCATTCCTACTATTTGTTTTTTAATCCCTCGAACTACATTCTATTTTAATTTTATGAAACTCTTGTTTGGGGCATTGAATATCAGATATGCACAAGTCCTGTTTATTCATTCAGTAAGTATATTTGGACCATCTGCTATTTGTAAAACACCACAAATAAGAGCCAGATACTGTCTCTGCTCCTAAAGAACACAGAAACTAGATTGCCGGGTAGGTTTACTATAAGTGTACTATGTTTGCTAATTGAAACATGATCAGAATGCCACAGGAGCACCAAGAAGAGAGAAATTCCGACTGGCACTTGATACAGGCCTCCAAGGATAAGTAGTTGGATTAAAGTAGGGAAAGCTATTACATGGAATGACACCCAAGTGTGAAAATGCAATATGTAGAATAAAGAACAGTCCAATATGATGGAACAAAAAGAAAGTAGTTGAGATTAAGGCTAGAAAGGTTGTATATATAACTATTGTATTTCCTTACAATTCAAGGTTTTTTCCTTGTGTGTGGAAGAGAAGATGATTTTAGCTGGGACCGGTGGTAGCACTTTATTCTGACAGAATGCATTGAATTTCTTAGAATTCATACTCTAGGTATATATATGCACATGTGGTATTTTACTATGAAATTTAATATGCAGGGTTATTTTTTCTACCTTAATATCATGTTCACTTTAAGGAATACTTCATGAGTAAACATGAAGCCTAATTAGCAAGGGTCTGAATAGCATGCCAGTTTGAACTTTATCTAATAAGGAAGCATTGAAGGTTTCTGAATGCAAGATTGTCATGATTTTATTCTCCTTGTGCCTCAGACTAGCATTTCTTAAGCGCTGCTGTAAATATTTATATTTTCCCCTTTTGATACTGCCATCATTTTGTGAAGAAATTTCATCGATATTTCTATCGGTTAAATTAAAACAAAAAGTGCCCACTAGAGGGTACTCTTACCCCCAACTGTGCCTCTGTAAAACCATCTGCCAAGCTGAAAAGCTGCTTTCATTTGTGTGCAGATTATTATTTAAAGTCTTTTCTTGCCTAGAAAAGAAACAAATGAATCCATAACTCTCCAATTCCTATTTTCTATGAAAGAAGTCAATATGTGCAGAACTTTCAGTACCTAATATTGTAATTGGACTCTTTATAATCTTACTACTTGTATTTTACTTAAGGCAATCATCGTCAGTTAAAAACCAGTAGAGAAATATGACTAATAGGGAAAATGTTAAGGATGATACCAGACTTAATTAACAAGCATTGCAGAAGTAATTAGTCTAATTACTGCACAGTTTACTATTTCTGCCTGTTACATTATTAAGCCTTTTAGCAGCTTTGTGTAATATTTCATTGGATGTTTCTAATGCAGAAAATAACAGAGTTTTGCAAAGAGTACAGTATGAAGGAAGTAAGGATTTAATCCTTCTTTTCTTGTGTTTCAGATCAAATGGGGAGCCTGTGGCCTTGTGCTGGCAGGCAATGCAGTAATTTTCCTTACAATTCAAGGTTTTTTCCTTGTATTTGGAAGAGAAGATGATTTTAGCTGGGACCGGTGGTAGCACTTTATTATGACAGAATGCATTGAATTTCTTAGCATTCATACTCTAGGTATATGTGTGCACATATGGCATTTTACTATGAAATTTAATATGCTGGGTTTTTTTATACCTTGATATCATGTTCACTTTAAGGACTACTTCTTGAGTAAAAGATTAGTTTTTTTCTCAGCAAATAGACCTCTCAAGTTTAGATTGTGTTACTTCTTTGCTGTTCATATAATCATGGTGCTCTCAGAAAATATATTAGCAGAGTCTTATAGACAGCTGCTCACATATGCAGTGGGTCTTTTGCCTGGGGATGTGCTGTGGGAGGCAGGTAGCCCCGAAGCAGGTGTCTCATGGCCCAGAAAGGCAGAGGTGGCTCCCTTTTTGTGTTGTAGACCCTTGCTTCTCCAAGTGTGGCCCACAGACCAAGAGCATTGACATTTCCTGGGAGCTAATGAGAAATGCAGAATGAGAAGCCCCCCCTTACCCCAACTCCAGTGCATTTTGATGAGATCCAAGCAAATCGTATGCACATTAAAGTTTGAGAAGAGTTGTCACAGAGGAAGAAACGTTACACCTAACTTCCTTGTCTGCCCCATGGCTGAACCACTTAACCTCTCTGGGTGTTACCTGCTCATTTGTAAAAAATGTCTCACCTGCCCTCATGTTGAGGATGGGTTCAGATTCTTTGGTGTTGTGAAGTGTTCAAACCTGTAATATAGGGTCTGTTCCTCAAATTTGTGAAAACTCTTCTCAGAATGGGGAGATGTTAGTCAAAGAATGCCAAGCCTCAGTTAGATAGGAGGAATAAATCTTTTTTTTTTAGATCAGTCACACAGCATGCTGAATATAGGTAATAATTGAGTACCGTACATTTTTAATATTGCTAAGAGTAAATTTCTAATGTTCTCATCACAAAGAATGTTAAATATTTGAGGTGATGTTTATGTTACTAATAATTAGCTTAATTTAATCATTTCACATTGTATTCAAAAATCATAACACTACTTTGTGCTTTAGAAATATATACAACTATAATTTGTCAATATATAATAAAAATAAGTTAAAAGACCAAAACAAAGGATGCCACGGTCCCCCCGCCCCCGCCAAGTGTTCCTCGTAGGGAATAGGTCTACCCTTAGATGTCGTCTGAAAGGCAGTGGCTGTTTTCACAGTGCTGGGGGAAGAGAGCTGCACTGGACGTCGGGGAGGGAGAGTGGGCTGGAACCAGTTCCTACTTTAGCAGGAGTGGGGAAGGATAGATGGGTAATACTTTTAAATGTCCCTTTATAATCTGGCACTTCTCCCTAGCACCTTCCCTATGCTGCCCTCAACAGTTCTGATTTGCTCTGGCTTCTCCTTCCTGAAGAGACGTAAGAGCCGAGGAAGCAAGCAGAAGGTGAACTGCTTAGTTTTATTTACAAGTTGATATATTTATTGTCTTTCATGTCCTGTAAGACTTTCGTATATAACTTTATGCCACCTTTTAAGTGAATCATTGGCACTACATGTCATGTTGGATCCTGTAATCACAGTTTTTCCAGCTCATCTTTTTGTCCAAGACCTGTTGACAAAGGGAAATATGGGAAATAGAGTCACTTGATCTGAATACAACCAGTGGTTTTTTAAACATTGTTAAAGTGTGATGACTGAAATACATTCCTAACACTTAAACCTTGACGTTTGTGATCTGATGACCTGAGTAATTAGCATGCCCTGTATATGCTAGTATGATGCTGGGACCAGAAGATAAAAGTGATACCTAAAGGGTTAATGTGCATTATTTTTGGCCTTGTACATGATTTTCTGTTTCCAGTGTTCTGTGTACATATCGAATTGTCAAAGTTGTTATTTCCAATATTTTATATTAAATATTTTAGAAGAATTATTTAGATACTTTATAATATTAACCAGCATTTTTAATGACACTTGCACTTAACGTATTGTAATAAATTGCACTTTTAATACAGAAGAAAAGTTTAATTTTAGAAGTTTTTATTGTCATGTCACCTTGCTTGAAAGATAACAAAAGAGTGAGAATTTCTTGATGTTTTTAAATGGGCACTTTCGAGCAATAATCTGTCCTGCAATAGAATAATAGCAATAAGTTTTAAGATACAATTTTGAATGTCTAGTTGGCTTGTGATAGCTTTTCTCAGTAAGATGGCAATTGTGATTAATTTATACTACATTTTGTAAAAGTGTCTTTTTGCTTACACACATTTCAAATAACCAAGATAGCATTAATATGTAGCCTTAAAGCATTACCTCTTGATTGTGTTTCCAGAATGATATAGGTACTTGCATAAAGAGTATTTGAAGTGATAGATTATTGGATTTGCTGTGTGTCTGTAAAGACAGACATTTATTCTGCAGTGCCTAAGTATCATTTAAATAGTAAATGTCAATAGGAAATATTGCTATTTATGAATGTACAATACAAAAGTTTCTTCCTGGTGACACAAATGCTAGCACTTTTTTTCCTTATAAAAGATTCATTTTTTTCCTATATATTGTAAAATATATTTGGAGAAGATTCAAAGCATATTGATTACATTGTAAAACTGAGAATACACTTCAGATATTCCCCACAAGTAAGTCATCTTATGAAGGGATTCTTTCTTTTTTCCAGTAGAAGTAATTTAATTGAAAGAAATAATTGAATAACTCAAACAGATTCTCAGGAAGTTGCTAAGATAGTGCAGAGAGGCACCATATACCCTTTATCCAGCTCCCTCCAATGATTGCCTCTTAGATAATGTGCAATATCAAAACTAGGAAATTAACACTGGGAAATAGATATGTGTATTTCTGTATAATTTTATGGCAAGTGTAGATTAATGTAGCCACCATCGATACAGACTATTCTATCACCACAAAGATGTCCCTTGTGCTACTGATTTATAGTCACACACACATCTCCCTATCCACCACCAGCCCTAAGCCCTGGCCAATGCTAATTTATTTCCATCTCTTATTATTTTGTCATTTCAAAAACGTTATATAAATGGAATAATATAGCACATGACATTTTTGAGTTTGCCCATTTTCACTCAGTGTAATGCCCTTGACTCCATCCAAGTAGTGTGTATCAATAATTTGTTCTGAAGGGATTCTTTAGCATGTTCCAAACAACTGGCTTACAGGCGGACTTTGAAATACTTCTTCTATAGAAATGATATTACGAATTGGTGATTGAGTTCCCAGGCCAACCCTCCCAAGGCAGGGTAAACCCGAACATGGCTGACCTATATTACTGAAGGTACCTGCCTGAGTTTTGGGTCTTGGAAACAGGGTAATGTGAACAGTTTGGAGGAAGGACGGTGCAACTTCCCACCTCTTTCCCCAAGAACGAGATTTCTCTCTTCAATTTTTGTATCCTCTTCCACCTCCAAATGTCCTTGTGGTCTAGGTATACGCCTATGAGTTGTACTCACCTTCTCTCCCAACTTGGGGCCTTCCTCCTAGCCACTGCCTCCTCCCCGCCCCGGTTCTTTACATTCCAAATCACTCACCGTTCTACTCCCATTAGTCAGTTTTCTAAGTATAGTCAAAATATGTGGTGCTGAGAAGAAAGCGAACTGATCAGATTTCTTCATGGAAAGAATGAATGACTTGTGATTATCTTCCCCACATCTGAAACTCTTTGACACCTGCATTGTGCAATTACCACTGCCGGCATTTTTTAAGAGAATGCCTCATAACCCACTGATTCTCGTTTACAGAAAATGGCAGTTTTTCCAAGTAAAATGAAAAAAAAATTTCAGCTGTTTATAGAAAGATAGAAATTTTTCGAGACAGGGGCAACCCTGTCATATCTCATCTCTTCCATAGGGCAAGTTCTCAGCTGGTCTTGCTTTTCATAGTTTTCTTTTCCTCCACTTAGGAACCCACAGATTTTTCTTATAGTCCTCAGGAAATCTTTACCTGTGAAGTATCTTCTTGATGAAGGCTCTTCTAGAGGGTGAAATGGTTCATTATGTTAATAACATTGCTTATGCTCTCAGGGAAATCCTTAGGCAGTGCCACAAAAATGTGCCTTTTCAAAGTTTGCAAAATTCAGGTTTTGTGCCCTTAGAGAACCAAAATATTTATGAGGATGCTAGCATTTTCCAAGCATAGTCATTAGTTCACACCAGGGAAATATTACTCCTGTAGATGAATATTAGTTGTGCATTTTAATTCTCCTTTTTCTATTCTGCCTCATGATGTACCTTATTTGCAAAAATCCCAGCGTATAATAGTGCATGAATTACAATCTACTTTCATATAGCCGTGCTGTTTGGGTAGAATAGTGATACGTGCAACCCCAAATGTGATGTGAAAGATCCCTGAGACTGCTTTAGGATGTATTATATAGGTGTGATGATGATGATTACTGTTTAAATAAAATTTGTCATTTACACTTTAACAAAGGCTTTTAGGTATATTGTTAAATGAAAAAGTTTATATTTTACTTAAGATACATTAAATTTGGAAAGGAGACCAGGAGATTTGTTTTGCTAGTGTTTTCATCTGGATAATCTTAATGTGAATTTGACTAGTTCTGAGCCTGTACTTACTGCACTTGAAGAGAAGCAGTCCAGCAATGTTCTGCCGCCTGGGAGGAGTGCAGGCCCCGGTTACACCTTTGCTGTGGCTGACACTCCCTGTGGAGGTGGAAGACTGGAAAAGCTGTATTGGAAAAGAGAAAAACCTGACACTTTAAAAAAGTGTTCTACATATCTTGAAGAGTCTCTTTGCCCAGTACGGAAAGGAATGCACTGATGGAAAATAGTTCTTAAAGAATAATGTCTCCTTATGCGTGAAACATTTGGGGAAGATCTGATGTTTTACAGGTAGATTTAGGCAATTTAGATTATAAAGGAACTGAGTTAGTTATTTGTGTTGCCCAGCTAAGTGTAAAGCTAAATTTTTAATAGAAAAATAAATTTGATAATACCAACATAACTATAAAATGTCCATAAGAAAAACAGTTCCTATGGAAGATTAACATGACCATTTTGAAACAATTACCTTCAATACTAGACCTATAGGCAAAGTGCTGTCAATCTCAAGAGTGTTTATTTGGAGAAGAGCACACTTGGAGACTTTGTACAATATAGCTTCAGTGTTGATTATATCTTTTTCAAAATTAGATAATTATAGCTGTTTACGCACTTTCAAATTATTAAATATTCACTTAAACTTGTGCATTCATTTTTCCCCTTAGAATAATTAAATAATAAAACCAGTTCAACTTTAGCCAGATAATCATTTCACTTATTTAGTTTAAAGCGTAAATGCCCCATGCCTCTGCCTCAACACTTTTATTTCCTTTGCAGTTAAGAAGCAAATTATATCCACCATATGCTGTAAAGTTTCATGATTCTTATAGCCCTCCCCCCAAAACTGTGTGCTTGTTCCCTGACAAATCCAGAATTCTCCAGCACTTCCAGCCATCACCGGTGCAGCCTCGACATTTGTGGTCCCTTGACCATGCTTTTGCTAAAATCTGCTTAACCACTGACGGAAATGAGTCACAAGAGCTTTAAACTCAGGTTTTAATCCGATGCTCAATTTACTTAAGATACCACATTAGTATTTGCGGTGAGTCTCACAGTGGTAACTAAGCCCATGCATTACAGCCTGAATCCCAACAG